CGCTGTACCGTTTTCCGGAGAGGGTATGGTCTTCCTTGAAGAGCAAGTTTGAAAAAAGCGTCGGCATTGAAAGGGGTGCAGAATCTGATTGAAACGAGCGCAAAGTCCTTTTCAGACAATGGCACATTGATTCAAAATAGGATCCTTTTGTGTATGCAGTATTCTTTTGAAAGGGGGTATAGATCACGGAATATTCCCGTCAACATGAGTAACCAGAACATACCCGTGGCCTTACCATACCATGAACAAACCCTAGTTATGCCCCAATCATGCCCTAAACATACCCTAAGCATACCACAATCATGCCATAAGTAAACCTGCCCTAAACGAATCTTCGTCATACCCAAATCAACCCTAATAAGGCCTAAACAGAGACAAAACACACCCTCAACAAACCCGAATCAAATCCCAATCATAGCCTTAACAATGCACCAAAAAAGCCCAAGCACTCCCCCAACATACCTCAAACAAACCCTAAACATATCCTAAACAAACCCTGAGACAGGTGTTGACTGCCTCGGCTCTCGAAGACCTGACGCTGACAGAGGGAGAGAGAGGAGAGACAGAGACAGAGACAGACAGACACGACCACACATAGAGATATGTATTATGTATATGTATATGTATATAATAATTATATATATGAATGAATGTATGTATACATACGCACATATGGTATACCTGTCTACGCACACACCAAGGTACGTCTGCCATAGATGTTCATGCCAATAGCTGCCATCAAAACAATCGTAGGTGCTGATAAAAGACCTCCCTTGAAGGTTTGCCTCAGTTGGGGAATACAGACAATGGCAGCCTCAGTTGATCCCAAGTCCGGTCGTTTGTTAAAGACCTCTTTGGATTAAAAAAAAATGATAAAAAGAAACAAACTTGTCACATCTTGTTAGATATTGTCACAACAGGCATTGCAATGGTCATGTCCCACAGTTCGCAAGCGCTTGCTGCGCGCTGAGAGTGCCAAGCTACCAAAAGGTCACTGATTTGACCCTGGCTTTGACCGGCTTCGGTTCTTCCTCCAGATTTTCATCACCTTCCACAGCAGTATCTGCCAAGTGATGGCAGTCGGAGTGGTCCACTCCACATCAAGACCCCAAACTGCTACGGCAGCACTAGGCTGGACCCTTCCAGCCCCTACACACCTGAAATCTGGCATCAAACCAAAAATGCATCAAAATGGCCACAAAATGGCCATGTCCAATCCAAAATCATCTTTCCAACCCCCAATATTCTCTAGATCATCGACGACTAATGGACATGGTCTCCTTTGGGGTTAAATCCCGGTGAATATTGCCAGTTGCTCAAATGCGTTGCCGGTGCCATCAAAATGCATGTCATGAACTACATGGTAGGCGGGTGATAGACGACCGCCTGCTTTTCCAACCACCGCTAGTTGATTTCGCCTGGTTTTTACCAGTTGTTTTGTCTATTGCTGCGTTTTTTGACTCTTCCAAATCCAGCTTCGAACTACTTGTTTTTTTCATTTCATGTTTCACATTTCCAAGTAGATGTCTTTCTTTCATTTCAGGATTTGAGTCAACTTCGTATACACATCTTTGGGAGAAGAAGACTTAGACCACATTCTGTACAACCATTGCTTCACAAGCACATTGACCTCTGTATTGAGACGATACGATATGTCTTCACTAAGCATGAGACGATATGTATTCACTAAGCATATAAGAAGTAAGAGAAGTAAGAAGTAGCATCAAGAGCGTCTGAGAAGTTACTTGACGACGTGAAGAGCGTAGCATCAAGAGCGTCTGAGAAGTTACTTGACGACGTGAAGAGCGTAGCATCAAGAGCGTCTGAGAAGTTACTTGACGACGTGAAGAGCGTAGCATCAAGAGCGTCTGAGAAGTTACTTGAAGACGTCAAGAGCGTAGCATCAAGAGCGTCTGAGAAGTTACTTGAAGACGTCAAGAGCGTAGCATCAAGAGCGTCTTGGAAGATACTTGACGACGTGAAGGACGTAGCATCAAGAGCGTCTTGGAAGTTAATTTCCAGCAATCGAATATTACGTCTTACGTTAATATCCCACCCCACCCCACCCCTCCTCACCCCACCCAACAGGCAGTGACGACCATGGGGCAAGTACGTGTGAAACGCACTTAGACATGACGTTATTATCCCACCCCACCCCACCCCACCCCACAAGACAAGAGAGGATAAAAGTATAAAAATAGCCAAAAAGCTGGCGGTCATTTATCAGCCGCCAGCCAACTACATGCAGTGTATCAACACCACGGAAGAGTAGTTCGCAGGTCAGTAGTGTTTTGGACGCCATCCAAAAAAAACATCCCCAAACATCTTGACGGAAAAATGTTAGCAGCATTTTTGGATTCCACCTCAAATCTGCCAGTACTTCAGCTTCGGGCATCACTCTGCCCTACTCCTTTTATGATCTCGCCACGAATCTTGCCCAATCTTTCCTCGCCTTGGTCGTCAGCCTTCTCGCCGATGGACTTGACTGGCCCGGAAGAACCTCTCTTGCGCATATCACTGGAAGCCTTGGAAAGACGTCGTGGTTTTTTTGGTATGTCGGGCGTTGACAATGTCTGCCAATCAACAACGACATGATTATATAAGGAGGTAAACCCAATAATGGGGTATCGTATGATATCAACTCTAATAAACCATCCCCAATTGAGGTTTATTATTGGGTATACCGCTATTTGGTATGATGTCTATCATGACCCCAAATGGTCTATGTCTTGGGGTGGCTTTTCTTAGGGTCTTCTGTCTTGTAGTGCAATCAACAGGAGCTTGATCGAGCCAGATAAGCCCAGCCCAGCACACTGAACCCGAGCAGCGTGGCAGAATTACTCAGCCGAATGTGAGGCTTGAGGAATGACTCACTCAACTTGAGCCGAAATAAGGCCAACAAAACAGTCATTCAGCACGTTTCTGACAGTACCAAGCGCGCCTGAGAACACCAAAAACTGTAGAGGTAGCTTGTTAGACAAGACATGTTTGGCATCTGCTTTGGGGTGCCGTAATTTTGTCATACGTGTTTTCCTTCTGCTCACAGCTTTGCATGGTGCGCACCGCAAAATGTGGCCTTCACTGCACTCGAGCCCCAAGGCCCGACCACCATGAACCCTCCATACACCGACGACCACCTGCTACTGGCTCTTTCTCGACGCCATCCTGCCAAAACTGCACGCTCGACGCCAAGTGATTTTTGAATATCAATAGCAGTGGCCAAAGGAATGGACTCAACCAAATCATGTGGAAGACTTCTTGGGGTTGCGAAAATCAGAAACAACAATGAGATCCTCCCATTGAGCCCTCAATTCAGAATCCATGATTCAAAGCTTGCCATGGACTATCCTGTCACTTAAATCCTGGACAAAATGGCCACAAAAACTGGGGAAAGCGGTCATGGAGTCATGGACTGATGCAGCAGGATGTCCCATGCAGCTGGCACTTTGAAAAAGATCTGAGACCACCCTCGGGTGATTGAACGTCGCTCTCGAAAATCACATATTTTGAAAAAACCAATCACTATAAATTTGGATGGCCATTTGGCTAAGCCATCTATAAATTGTCCATTTTGCAGATGTTTTCCATGACCAGTTGGGGACCCGTTTGTGCAAGCGAGGAGCCATGAATACGCCGAGTCATCGAGCCACGAGACTGGCGCAAACATCCCGGTGTCTTTGGTGAGTGTCCTTTTTCACAAACTATGTATCTATGTAAGTATGTACGTACGTAAGTACCTATGTATGTCTATAATACATATATATATATATATATGTATACATGAAAAATATGTGTATATATATATATATGTGTGTGTGTGCAAATGATATATATATATATACATATATGATAAATACATTTATATATGATAAATATATATATATAGTATATGTGATATATATATATATATATACATACGATATAATATATATATATACATGTGATATATGTGGTGTATATATAAAAATGCTATATGATATATATGACATATATAACTATGTTTTATAGATAATATATATATATACACTATATATGTATTATAATACACATGTATATATATATATGATACACATATGTATATATATATATGGTCCAGCGTTCCAACCCCCCCCCCCCCCCCCCGTCATGGTCATGGGTCAGCCATAGTACTGTCCCCCTCCCCCCCTCTGGTGTGGTGGGGGTGTAGTTATATATATACTGTATATATATATGTATATATGTATTATATATATGTAAATATGTGTATATGTAAATATGTATATATATATATGTAAATATGTATGTATGTATGTATGTATGAATGAATGTATGTATGTATGTATGTATGTATGTATGTATGTATGTATGTATATGTGTATATGTGTATATGTGTATACATGTATACAATATATATATATATGTTGTTATGTATATATATATACATGTATGTAAGTGTATATATACATACATTTATATGAATATATTTATATGTGTATTTATATATACGTAAATATTAATATGAATATGATTGAATATGTGTGTATATATATATATATATGTATATATATATATACATATATATATATGTGTCTATAATATATATATATACATATCACTCTTCTTTCACCCGTCATTTCTTTGAAGTTGCCCGGTGGCGCTTACACGCCAGAGTTCCTACGACTGGCCAGTCAAAAATGGGGCCTGAAGGCTTCTCGGTTTTCAAGGGCCAGGCCAAATAAAACTGGAAAATGCAAGCTGCTTCGGGAAAAACGTAGTAGGGCCGGGGGGGCCAAAAGCTTGCAGACAAATGACTCAAACAGTGCAAGTGATACAAGACATCACTCTTCTTTCACCCGTCATTTCTTTGAAGTTGCCCGGTGGCGCTTACACGCCAGAGTTCCTACGACTGGCCAGTCAAAAATGGGGCCTGAAGGCTTCTCGGTTTTCAAGGGCCAGGCCAAATAAAACTGGAAAATGCAAGCTGCTTCCATCTCTGTTCTTCTGCACTGCAAATCAAGCAATCAAGTAACGCCAGCGGGAATCTTCTCAGGATACAAACTCAAAAGGACAGTCATACAATGCTGCTCCAGAAAGGACACTAAACTTCGAGCATGGGGAGACAACTGGTGAAGGAATAGCTGAGCAGCTACTTCTTGAACGTAGAACTCTAGGGTCTTCGTTCTGGCCCAACGCCCACGCCATGCAATTTTGGGTATATCTTCAGTGTCAATATACTGTTGCGTAGCCCCTGAGCCACGCAAAACTCCGGGCGTAGCACCTCTGCTAGTCTGACGCCGGGGTATATGCATAAAATCCATCAAGAAATTCCACTGCCGCCGAAAAACGGCCATGCTCGCATCAAACAACTTGGTTTGCAAGGGAAGGCTGCCAAAAATACATCTCACCAGCAAAATCACGGTAGGATCATCGATCTTTGCATGCTGCCGCCTGGCAAAGCGGGCTGTTTTTGGGTTTCGGATGTGGATGTACATCACCTGCTCACGCAAAAGTGCATCCTCTGGTAGGACCACATCTTGGCGAACCAGTTGTATGAACTCATTCGGATGTAACATACCTGCGAAGCCAATGCTAATCACTCCAACAAACTGTCGCCATCCCCAAAGCAGCCCAAGGCAAATCAAGGCTCGGACAATTGGAGCAGAAAGGACAGCACGACACTGTCCCGGCTGCTCCAGCTGCCAAACCCTATCCACATGCCAGGCGCCTCCAAGTAGGGATCTAAATTCAGGTCTCAACCTTTGGACTGCGGTGATTGTGTACACAAGCTGGTAGCGGGGGCGCCCAGCGGCATATAACATACGCCCATAAGCCCTGAGACTCAAGTTGCACATCTCCGGGCTCTCAAGTGCGTGGTCAAGCGACATGCCCAACTCCTGCTGGAGCCACTCGCTAAACTGGCAAAGACAGCTCTGCATCCGCTGGGTAGTGGCGCGCGAAAGCCCGCCAAACAAGTCAAGTTCCCCACGGGGTTGATATGTTCCAGCGACAGGCCCCGGATTTCTCTCCACATCTCCAGCAATCAAGAGCAGTAGCCTGACCCAGCGCCCGATAGGGCGTGTCCACTTTGAGGTCTCCAGCATCAGCTCAAACGGGCGCACATCGCCGCTCTGCAACGCCTGAATCCAGCCTGCAGTCTTGGCACTAGGAGGCTCAATATCGCGCCCCCGACTAGGGCCATCAGCTCGATTCCAAGCCGACCGGACATGTAAGCAGCCAGGATAGAGACCCCCTCCAAGAACGCAGCCTAAAGAACTGCGCAGCACTCGAGACAAAGCTTTGCTACTGCTGCGCCCTTTAGCAGCGGCTCCCATGGTGACACGGCTGTCTAACAGCCCAAGCAGCCTATGCCCGCCCCACCGCTTTGCACTATGCTTTAGCCATGACTTGTAAACCCTGCATTCCAGCACGTTGATATGACCGCCTTTCTTGAAGCGGTACCGAAACAACTCCTTGTATTGCACCGTCTCACACAAGTCTGCCACCCAGTCCGGATCCTCGAACCACGCCCGCAGAACACTGCGGTCAGAAGCCTTGGTGACCAGATTGGGCCTCTGCAACAACCGCACCTTACGATGTCGTAGAGTTTCATCGGCAGCAAAGCGGTGATGGGCGGCCACACTCCCTCTTGCCATTTTCTCACAAAGCGGTATGGGATAAGCAGCAGAAAAAGAACTCAGTGCCTCACCCACTCGAGGCTCTTTGCCGTAAACGGCTTGGCAGCTCGGCTTGCAGCGCCGATCGAACTCGGAGATACCTGCACGCGTGAAACTGCCCTCAATGACAAAATGCTGGTTTTTAAAAGCACATGTGCACCTGCTCTCCAAGCTCAATAGCCATGGTTTGTTGTGAAGCCATTTGGATGGCTTCATAAATCCACTGCCAAATGAACAAAAGGGGAACTTTGTGACAACGCATCCCAGAGCTAACAGCACACGGAAAATATGCAACTCGAACATCACAGAACTGCCCGGTTGTTCCACTGAAATAAAACAGCCTGATGAAAGCGCCAGCATCAAAATAAACGCAGTGCGAATAGCCAATCTGGTCTGTTCCCAGGTTAGCTCATCCAGCATATCGAAGCCGGCAGGTTGGGTTTTGCTCCTGAGACGAGGTCTTCGCAGCGTTCCAAATGACCAACAGGGTGGAGCTGCATGCCACTCTTTCACCTTCCCTTCTGCTGCTAGGTGGGCCAACTCAAGAAAAGTTTGTTTATCACTAAGGTCCCCAAAACGAACGCCTTTGGCATTTCTTTCGACCCCAGGATGAACACGAAGACCCGCCTTGGCATGGCTGCGGCTCCAATTCGCCTGACCGGCGAACAACTCAATGCAGTCGTAGGCTGCCAGCTCCACGTCTTCACCTGCAGCAGAGACATTCAAAACCGCAGTGGAGCCAAAATCAGATAGGTCAGGATCAGCATGGCCAAACATCTCCGTGTGATCCAACCCCAACTCATGTAAGACCAGATTGGCACCGGACTGAAGCTGCGTGTAATATCCCCGCTGTTCCGTGTGCCTCCAGATCTCCTCAACTGCCACATGGCCCAAAAAATGCCGGCAGATCGCACCGCCACTCGGCGAAGCATCCATCATGAACACTTCAGGACAGACATTGGTTCGCAAATCAGTTTGAAACAATGGCCCCAATATCATGAGGTTGATCAGCTCGTTGATGCTCTGTCGCGACAATGTAAAAGGCTCATCCATGTGCTTGTCAACCCCTTCATGGAAAACAGATTCTAACACAGAAAACCCCACTCTCCGAAAAAGTAAAACGTGAACCCAAGTGCCAATGATGCTCTGCAAAATGCGCCGAGTAGTCCGTTGCTTTTGAACCACGACGGCAGTCACAAACATCAACATAGCAACTCTGCTGCGAGGAGCTGAAACGCGCCCCAGAACCCCGTCCACTTCGGCTCCCAAAACTGTTGCACTGGAAACCTGCCGCTGTCTTTTGCCCGGATGGGAAGTGAGGCCCACTTGCTGGTAGGCCATGTCTGAGTTCGCAAAGACCTCTTTGTCCCGCGTCTGTTGGTCGCTCAAGGGGATCAGATTAGATACCTTTTGAAGACCAATATGATCATCAATAGTTAACAGCTCATAGAAAGGACCACGTGGGATGGGTTGCCTATAAGCTATGATTTCATGCTCCAACAGACACCCAGCCAACTGACGCAACAAGTTGAAATGGCTCTGCTGGGCAATCTCAACTGCAAGCCCGTCGCCCATCGCCAGCGTACCCAAACAGATGTATAACTTCTGACCAAATAACTTGGGATCAAAACATCTGAGATGACAAACTTCAGAACTGTCAAAAACCATCCCAATAGCATTCCGTGCAGCCCTATCTTCAGAGACTTTAAAAGTGTAATAAAACTCACACAAATCATCTGAAGAAATAACCAGGTTCTCATGAGCTTCAAGCCGCAGCAAACAAATCAGGGCTCCGGGTGCCAGAGTCTTGGTGAAGTTGGTATAGGAAAACTGCCGACTGTTGATAACAGTAGGGTTCACAATCAGCCTGTCAAACTGTTGATCCTTACTAACTGCGAACATTCCAACGGCTTCATCACGCCGAATGCTATCACATGTCACCAGTCGGCAAGCTCCTAACTCATCCCACTTCTGCGCCAATTGCAAGAGCTCTGACCGCTTGCAATGCACCTGAGCCCTCGTCATCCGTGGCCAGTCATGTTCTGGTATGCGGAGCACATCAGGCCGCAAAAAAGCACTGTGAACAACTGGATCACTCAGAAAAGGCAAGGGGTCAAATGAGGGTCCCAACTTCCATTTAATACGTTCAGCTAAAACCTCCTTCGTGACAGTGGTGGCCAAGGGAACGCGAGATGGCAAGGTCTCAGGCAGTCGGGGCTCATTGCCCACTGTGGAACCTATATCACCCTTCAGCTCCGAAGTGCAGCTAAAGCCATCGTTTGGGGTTGCTCGTTTCTTGTGGGAGAAACCATAGGGGTCAACCTTGGTGGAAACAGCATCTAAAAAACTTTGAAGGTCCCTGTGCTCAAGCTCAGAAACTGCACTCAGCTCGAAGGACGTCTTGCACAAATTAGCCAGCTTTTCCGCCGCTCGGCCAAGCTCGTCAAAGTCGACGTCCGGGGCTCTCACAAAATGGTCGATCAGACCTTCCAGACGCTCAAGCATGACGTGCTGGCCATCAGAAATTGGGGCGCCAAGGCAAGCTGAAGGAGGTGGAGAAAGGGGGCAACCCAAGCTCAACCAGTTTAAACTCACTACCACATACTGGAGGCAGTACGCTTTGGTCTCCAGCAGTCTCTTGCGCCTTCGCCTCTTGGGGGATAAATGCTGGGAGGCCGTCCAATGCCATCTGGGAGGAGGACAAGGCCATAGATCGGTTCCAGCAAAGGAACCGTCTTGGTGACGGGTAGGCTGCAAACTCCTGCGGCAAAACTCGCCGAAACCAGTGTAAGAAGCTCCAGCGATCCGCAGTACAGCGCGAATCATCTCACTGCACCTAATTTGAGAAGGCACCTTGGTTCCTGCTAAGTTGGCATCAGGAACATGACTGCCCGACTTGGGCCGCCGGGTACCAAGCTTTTTGGGGGGCTCAGGATGCAATCGGGAGGAGGAAGCGGCAGTGAAGTCTGTGCGACTGCCATTGCACTCAAACCCCCGACCAGAAGTCGCAGTAGGGCCAGAGACCCCCTGCGCTGAAGTAGAACAGGCCGGCAAGAGGCGAGGCAAAAAGGCAGCACAAGCCACTCCACTCCCGCCGGTTGCATCCGTCAGACCGTCTCGGCCGCCTCGGCGTTTCCGCTGCTGCCGTCTTTTCCTTTGTTCTTTTTCTTGGGCCACGGCTTTTTGGGCGCCGGTGCATCGACCTGCGCTTTCGTTGTGGGACCCTTGGCATCCTTGTCTGTGTGCCGAATTTTGCTTTCCAAAAAATCCAGATCCCGTAGGTAGCCCACATTGGCCGCAACCCATGATGGATTGCACAGCCTGCTGAACGGTTTGATTGAGCTGCGCGCCCGGGTCAGTTGAACCTGAGAGAAGTTGGGTTCGGGCAGCCCCGTCAGCAGCCAGGAGAGGCTCGTCTTGCCTTCGTCCAGTGCTGTCTGCTCCACGAAGATCAGGCCCTTGGCTCCAAACCCGGCCAACTCCCGGTTTCCAGTGCGCTGGCCTGTCTCGTAAGCTGAAGCCATCAAGTACCCCACCTGGGTCAGCAGGCGGAAGGAGCCAAGAGGAACACGCTTCTCCAGATAGTCCCGGAGGAGCCCGGGAGACAACTGGCTGGCATTCAGCCCCAACTCCATGAGGGCGTTGCTCTCTACGACCTGTGCTGTCGACACCAAGTTGTCGCTGATCTTCAGGAAGGCCTCTCGCGCTAAGCAGCCTTTGATCCCACTGGAAGAACTGCCAGGGTTCTCGCTCCCACTGCTGAGAGCTGCATGGATGGCATCCTGAGGCTGTCGGGCCGCCACCTGCTTCTGCAACAGAGTCACCTGCTGCATCTGAAGAAACAGCAGTTTCTGCATAGGATCCGGGAAGGCATCCACTGACAGCTGCGCCAGTTCGTCGCCGTCGGTCGCCTCCAACTCCTGCTCTTGCTGAAAAGTTTCGAAAGCATCTGCCCCGTTTGGTGTGAGCTCCAAGGCGCGATCTCGCTTCTCGTGACCACCCAGACGCGGCGGTCCCGCGCCCGCCAAACTGCGGAGGCGCTCCATGGTCTGAGCTGGGACGCCCGGGGCTTTGGGCAATGCTCCTAAAAGGCCTTGAGCAGGCTGAGAGGCCGCTTGAGTCACGGGGGCAACTTGCTGTTGAGCTAGTGAAGCCAGCTGCACCTCGAGGTCTTGAATGTGAGCTTGAAGTTGCTCCACTGAATGCACCTGTCCCAGATCTGCCGCCTCGTCGACATGTGCCTCGGCCACAAACGCCTCTTCGCAAGACACATATTCGCCAGCAGCCTCCTCGTCCATGTTCTCTGCTATCCAGGCCTCTGCCGCAAAGAGCGCGCCGTCCCTGGATGGACGACATGTCACCCCTTCGTGCACAAACTTCAGAAGGGCCAGTGCGGCCTCGCCACGCAAACTGGAAGCTCTCTTGAAGAACTGCAGAGCGGGCCAAGGGCAGTCTACCAGAACCGCATCCACTGATCCTAAGGCTCGGCCTCGTGCAGTTTCCACCTGGACAGAGGTCTGATGGTGGGCATAGAAGTCGAAGGGACCGGCCATCTCGAAAAAGTCGGCCACCTCGGCATCTCCAGGAACCAGAAACATAAACCCTCCGGCTCTGTACCGGACCACATACGCCAGTGCTTTCCACAAAACTGTGCCATCGACTGATATGGCGGAGAAGTGCAGAGCCGGAAGCAGCCCTTTCGCCCGTGCTTCCACCACACGGGCTTCGATATCTGCCTGAGCTAGTCCTCCCGCTCCGGCGGCCATAGCGCCTGAGCTCCCAACACGTAGGCTTCCGCCTCAGCACGCGATGGGAATGCGTGCGAGACACTCCGGGCGTGGAGCTGACTTGCTCCTGGCAGACGGACTGCCTGATAGTAAACGTGGGCACTGTGGCAAATGCACGGCTCAGCACCAGGAGCCCCTCTCAGCACCACGTAGATCCTGTTGCGGACCCCAATGTCAGGTGAACGTTCAAACGTTCCGACACCGTCCAGCTTGTTCTTTGCCGCCAGTCCCGCTCGCAAGGCTCGCCCCAGCCTGGCTCGCACAGTCCAAACTCCCACCTCGGCAGTGAGTTGGCGCTGCAGGTGCTCCACGCACTGCAGGTCAACAGCTAAGATCTCAGCCGCGGTAGAGGCCTCAAGCAAAGCCTTCTTCCACTCAGGCGACCACTGGCGAGAACCGCCAACAACACTCCAGACACTGGAACCTGTAGGAGAGGATTCAACTCGCTCCTCGGCTGCAGCAGAACCTGCGGCAGCGGCCCGAGGGCCAGCAAGGGATAGCTCAGGGGTGGATCCGTCTCCAGAGGTGCCACTTCGACGTCTCACAGAGATCTCAAGTTCACCTATCCGCAAAGTGAGCTCGTCCACCTGTGAATCACTCATTCAAGGCTGCCGATACTCACTCAACCTACTCCGCAGCTGGATGGCTCGGCCGCTCAACGTTCCAGGCACTGATGGTGCTAAAACGCTCACACCACTTTGTAACAGAAAAAGTAAAATTTTCCTGCAACCTTGGGAAAAACACACGGCAGCTATGACCAGCCCGGTCACCAGCCCTGAAATCCAGCCCAATAGGATCAGCAGCAAAGTGGTGCCCAGTCCAAGGCCCGAGCAATCTCCAGAAGGCCAGAAATGACGGAACTCACGCAGGAGTTCGGCAGCACCCCACAGGTGCATGAGCGATCTTGACCCCAAAAGCTTGCAGACAAATGACTCAAACAGTGCAAGTGATACAAGACATATATATATATATTTATTTATAGGAAGTAGATACATAGCACATGTAAATATAACTATAGGTAGCACGTAGGTACTTTGAGGGAGTATGTGTGCTACGGAGGCCGTCTAAAAGGTAGCATGTACCTAGTAAATGCGAGGCTGGTAGTCAGAATCGCTGCAAAAACCTAGCAAATACGAGGCTGGACCTCGGAAATGCTGCCAATAGCTTGCAAATAGAAGGGAACGGGGTGCTACCTGGGGACCCATACCATTGGGGGGGGTAGGAACACGGAACACGAGACCATATATAAGTATGTATCATATATGGCCCAGGCCAGCAGCCCCCCCCCCACCCCCCCACGTCATGGTCATGGTCCTGTATGGATGCTGCATATACACTGTATGTAGGAGGCTCTATGTTAGATATAGTTTAGGGATGGGTGTGGGCTAGGTAGTGTGTCACTAGCATGTAAGGCGAAAAGTAGGTAGTATGTGGCTACAACGCTCCACGCCCCCCCTGTGGGATGGGTGGGGTGTTATATAGAGGTATCATATAGATAGTATAGGCAGTACGTGGCCAGCACGTATGTATAGCACATGAGATCTTGATAGTAGCTATATAGTAAATGATCGCTATAAAGGTACTTTATTGCCAGTAATGTGTTGTAAATAGCGTGATGCAGTGTGTAGCTTACCCCCATGCCCCCCTGTGAGATGGGTGGGGTGTCATAGAGGTATCATGTAGATAGTGCATAAGTAGCAAGTAGCCGGCACGTATGTATAGCACATGAGAGATCTTGATAGTAGCTAGTATATGGCCACTATAAAGGTACTTTATTGGCAGTAATACGTTGTAAATAGATTGTATGGGCATTATAGGCAGTGAAAACTGCATGGAGGTGTCCTGTTAGTATTGCATATGGGATCTTGACGGATGGTGGTAGATGGCTAGGCCACCCCCATGGGGGTGGTTGCTGGGGGGGGAGGGGGGGTTGCCGGCCACTGGTCCCAGTGCCAGGTGACCCCCAGTCCCGGAACAGTCTCTGGGGAACAGACGGACATGGTGCTGCAGCTGCTTGAGGCAGCCTGGGGGTACCCCTTGCATCATCCAGCCGTCATGGATGACCATGACTTAGTCTTGAATCATATTGAAAGCCATGGTGACGACTGGGAATCATGACTTAAGAATCCTCAGGTCTACTGTAATCTGCCCTGTTCCTTGAGGATGAATCAGGCATCAACACCTATCATAAACACTGAGACCGCTGAGACCTTTTGTATGTTGGCCATACCGCAGCCAACCCTGGCGAATGCCAGCCCGGGCATTTAAGTTAGGTGTCCCTTTTGATGGCCTGCAAACATACGCCAGCAACCATATTATGCCTCTTGAATGGCAGATCAATGCCCCGTCCCGAACAAGACATTGATCCAAATATCTGCGACCAACGGTAACCAAGACCCCTGGATGATACCATTCAGGCCATTCAGAGACACCTGACCCAAGGAATAACTGAGGCCAGCTACATATCGAAGTTCCCCAGCCTGAGGAAAATTTCAGCAGTTGAAATTGAAATTTTGGTTGTTCTTGTCGCTTTTGGCATGGCAAAATCATGGCAAACCGGTCATCGGCAAGAATCGATGATTTCGCAATCCGCCCGAATCATCGGAATCATCGTTGCCCAGACGAGCAGCGCAGCAAAGCCCCACTTTGAAAGACGAGATAACAGTTATAACGAGAGAAATCATTGAGAAATCCGGAAAGTGTGCCAAAGTACCATTCAACACAAGACCACCGTCCACCACATCAGCCTTCTTGAAGTTTGACCGGGTGAAAGGCCTAAAGCTGTCGACGGCGAGGCTGGATGATGTGGGCCACGTAGGTTTAAAAATTCCCGATGTTCCCACAATTTTCCAAGGTTTTCCCACCTGAACGCAATGCCCCACTTAAGCTAATTTGGCGAATCACCATGGAGCCGCCAAACCCTCGTGAACTAAGAATCATAGGTCACTGTGATATCCCATTTCCTGCTGATTTGTTTGTGGCTTTTGATCCTCGAAAACCTGGCTTTGCTAAAATTAGAAAATAGAATTTGCTTAGAATGTGCTTTTGGATAGATCATGAATCAAAGTTTTCCGGGAAAGAAATCCATGATCATTCCAGGAAAAAAACCTAAACCATCAATCATTAATGAAATGAAAAAAATGTCAAAAACCAAACATCCTTTTTCCCCAAACAGTGTGTCCACACTGAAGGGTTCTTACGGTAGCTGTAAAGGCCGGTGCTTGATCAGGGTGCTCACTCTGGGCTGTAAATTTCCGTATCAAGTGGCTCTTGTGAAATCTTGACATGCGTTTCAACTGCCCAACCCTCGCACAAAGTGTGTGTCCGCGTTCTGGGCTCATTCTGGGGCGCGACATTTTTCCTGCAAATTACTGCAAAAAGTGACTCCTCTGAAATGTTGACATGCATTTCGACTGCGCAGGCTCGCACAAAGTGTGGTCCTAGCTTCTGGGTCGCGGCTTCATCGTCATCCTCCTCCTCCTCCTCATCATCATCATCATCATCATCCTCACCGTCATCCTCCCCCTCACCATCATCATTATCATCATCATTATCATCATCATCATCATCATCGTCATCATTTATCCTCCTCAACATCATCTTCGTCCTCCTTCTCTACATCATCATCCTCCACATCATCCTCCTGCACCTCATCATCCGAAATATCATCCTCCTCAGCATCATTATCATCATCATCATCATCGTCATCGTCATCGTCATCATCATCATCATCATCATCATCATCATCATCCTCATCATCATTCTCAACATTATCCTACACTATCTTCCCACTCCCCCCACACTGTTTGGGGTCTCTTGCCGGAATTGTATCATGATGCCATGATGATCCCATGCCCCAGGTGCCCGACTCTGGCAAAGGTCTCAAGGGCTTTAAGGAGCCCCGGACCAGTCCGGCGTCGAAGCCATCTAGCGTTGGCTCACCTGGAATCAGATGTTGAACTCCTGAGAGCTCCTCATATTGGAATATAGATAATATATATAATATGTAGTGATACAGTGGAATGTCCTATAGCCAGTAAATATATGTAAATATTTTATATATATAATGGAATATACTAGAATATACTATTATAGTTATTATACACTTTTCGAGAACAGTTGTCGCAATTTCATTGAAACTCCTCAAACTGAAGATTTTCTTGAAGGATCAGTGGACATTGGATGAAGTTCGGATTGTGAGATTCATAAGCTGGAGGGTTCAAGTGCCCCACGGACCGTCTATCCTAAGCCCGTCTCCGCACTCACCTGCATCTTCGGTCACGGCACCTCAGGTTGCAGCGTTTTTGCCGATTCATGCTTGGTGTTATATCCCTGGAGACCAACCAACTATGGACATGTTCGGTGTGCAGGTCTCTCTTGGCTGGTTATCAACAGTTTCAATGGCATCCCGTGGGGTTGAGATCCCGGCTGGGAGCAGAAGGCCTCGGAGCCGTTGATATCATAGCGGCTTCTTACAGATGCGTTTTTCCCTCAAATTGAAGTATGGCATGATAGGTTGTGACTCATCCCAATATCAAAATCGGATGCGAAGAAAAAGAGAATTCATGACATTTTCATGACATTTTCATGACATTCATGATGTGTTTCCCTGGGGAAATTCTGACTCAAAAACACTGACCAAGCCACCCAGGAGTCGAAGGCGTGGGTGCCCTTGTCGAAGGGTGAGATGATGGCGGTTCAATTAGGATGAGGGTCAAGAGAAAACGCATGGCTTAATATAGGCTATATACATGTGAATTTTGTTCTATGTGGGGCTTCAGCCAAAATTATCCATCCATATCCCGTTTTTGCAGGGAAGATAACAGATTTAAATGGCGTATGCCCAAAGTAGATGGATGACTCCTGACTTCTTAATTGAAAGCTTCAGCATGGACCCAATGTATGCTCTTAAGATGGAGAATATGAAAAAAATCTTTGAGTTTTTGGCTATGACTGGCCATAATCATCCATGAACAAACACGCCAAACACGCCAAGGCCCCAATGATCCTAACGGATCTTTATCTCACACACCACCAGGAGGTAAACTCAGAGGCACAACCAGACTTGGAATCCTCTCGTCACTCTGAAATTGCGGGAAAAATCTGCATAGTCCATAGAAACCATTGCTGAACTCTCTCCCCAAGGCCCCAAGGCCCCAAGGCCCCAAGGCCGAACCTTGTGGCAAGCGTCTGCTCTGCCGGTTCTTGTTTCAAGACTTTCCTCAAGTGCGAAGTTCAACGCTTGCAGTTCCCCTGTGCAAGCTGAGTTTGGTTGTCTTGTGTTTTGTGGAGTACAGATTTCCAGAACTTCTGAGTAAGAGCTTGTCTTGTCCATCAAACACAATGTCTATTCTGATGGCAAATGTTCTGAATCCACAGGACGCCTCTTCCACAACTGCCAACCCTCGAATCACTGCACCGCTCAGAATATTTGGAGATAAAACCAATGCCGTGCCGCAACGCAAGAACCGGGTATCTGATCTATGTCCACCCTCTCAAGGTTCCAAAGCGACTGCTGGCAACCAATCAGTTCTATAGGTTTGCCTACAGTGGGGTACCCCTCAATCCAGGTATGTCTGATGTCATGCTCCCTAGGTATACCCCAGTTTTTTGGACAAAGTCATCTCCAGCGGAGAAATTTCACAACCTGAGCTCTCTGGCGACACCATGGGTCCAATCTGCGCCGCTGCGGCCAGGCGTTTCGCTGCAGCTGCCTGGTGCAGAGCTGGGCAGCTAACTGCAGATGGATCAACAAATGCGTTGCCAAAGTCGTTCAAAGTAGTTCAAAGGTGCTTGAAACAGTCCAGGACATTCTAAAGAATCTGAAAAAAAAAAGAAGTTGAATTACAATGTGCATGGCATTGCATGCTGAGGCAAACCTATGGTTTTGAACCCAAGGAGTGGTGGTTGCAGAGCCAAGAGGGAGATTGTTTCAACAAATCCATTAATACCTTCACAGATCCAATAACGTGCCCTCAAGAACATCTCAGATGATGTCTTGATGGGTTTCAACTGCAACTCCGGTATGGATAAATCACAAACCCTTGTTGCCCAGTGTACACCAAGGTAGTCCGTAACACACAGCTTCATTCTACCGAGATGCTGCCTGTGGAAAGGCCAATATTGCAAACACAACAAGTCAGCCCTCAAACCCATCACTTCCTGCTATTTTTTGAGGTCATGGCCATTGTGGTGGGAAAGATCGCGGTAGATGCTAGTGTGTCTGAAAACGGGGTATATTATATATATACCTTAAAAAAGTGAGATTCTAATGCAACCAACATCAACCAGTAGAATTTCGGGTTTATCCAAGTTTTCAGACAAACCATGTGCACTCTATGCATCCCTGTTTTGGCGCCTTAGCCTCTTCCAAGATCTCAGCTGCAGCCTAGACTTCACAGAAGGACATGGAAAAAACCCTCGATTTCTGATTGTAGATGTCCACTTCTTCCCATCAATGGCCCTAATTTGGGTGAAAGAAACATGGTACCCAGGTGGAAAACCCCCAAAAAAAAAAGCCAGCTCCTTCGGCTTCGGCGGAAGGCCCTCTGGCAGCGGTCGGCCGTCCAGAAGCCAACCTGGCCACGTCGGAGATCCATTCCGAATGGCAAGGTGAAAGCTGGCTGGGAATACTTCGAGATACTTCGAGCCTTCTGAAAATGGCGGAAAACTGTGGAAATCTACGGGATCAACAAACTCGTTCACTGGCACCTGCTGGAAGTATCGAAAACTCCGTGCTGCTGACCTTGGGAGTTGGGAGGAGCAGCCAAAGTCTGGTTCCAAACGCACTTCTAAGACTGCAAGGGAAATCATCTAATCACCAATCAAATCGGGCCAACCTCATGCCCACGATGGAACATCGGTGACCTCACTGGAATGAGAAAAAAAAACGAATTTGGCCGTCGCTGAGACTCCCCATGGCATCCGGCTGCAGTGGCATCTGTCTTCTCCCAACGGCGAAAGCATTTCACCTTTGAAATCAAAGAAATGTGCGCTCATCTGGTGAGAACTCCAAAAAGCAACCCTCCATAAATACTCATCGTAAATATCGTAAATGAAAACCGCCAAGTTCCTCGCGCAAATCCGTCATCCAACCTGGTTTATACATAAGTTGATCTGTCGTCTGTGATCTGTCCATCGATCTATACGCCAATCCAGCCATATTTCACAATCCATGGACAGATCTATGCATCCGTCCATGTACCCATCCATCAATCTATCCATCAGTCTGCCAACCATCGAGCTATCCATGAACTAATCCATCGAGCTTTGCCTGCCACCCCAAACATCTACGCATCCATCATTCCAGCCTGTATCCACATCCATTTCTCCATTCGTCCATTCATTCACCTATCTACCTACCTCCCTACCTTACCCGCCTATCCATCCGTCCGTCCATCTGTCCATCCATCCATGCATCCATCACGCTACATATCCATCTATTCATCAATCTACCATAATCTACCCATCTATGCTTGTTTATTCATCTTATCCACCTATAGGACCTATCCTATTTGTCTATCCACGCATCATACTCATCCGTCTCTCTACCCAGATACCCCCCTCTATACACCCATCATTTCCCTATCAGTCGATCTATCTAATCTGGACTCCGAGAGTATCTATCTAAATCTGTCGCTCACTCTATGATCCATTCCCATCACCGTGTTGACCGCTATTCCTCCATCTGGGAGGCCCCCAATCATACACAGTTCCCACCCAAAACACTGGTGTGATGAAACTCTCCCGTTGGAACATAAGGTGTTGTGGGGATTGATGGATAGTGAAGACCCCATGGGGGGTTCATGCAGCAAACATCTTTCAGCAATGGGTTACTGTGGGTTGCTGCCATGCAAAGTGGCCCCACTCCGTACTTTGTAAAACCAGAATCTGGATATACTTCAAAATACATCTGTATGCATAATCAACAAAGCTCGGGGTCTTCAGCACATGGTCTTCTCTGTGGGCAGGTACCGTTCAGTCAGCTAGAATCTTGGCTACTCCGTCCATCTTGGCCAATCGGCTTCCCTTGCAGCATCTGCGGCTTTTTTATCACCAATCAACTGTCAGTGTTCCGCTGCTTTCAGGACATTCATCCCTTCCGCATGAGCTGAAGCAGGGGGACCTGGGTTTCCGCAAAGCTTCCGCGATGACCCTGGCTTTCGAGGGAATCATTTCCAACATTTGCATATCTTCACTACCGGGCTTTAAAACATGTTTCTCGTTTGTGGCTCGCATCATTTGAGTTTGAAAGACTGTGTCAAAGTGAAAAAAACAGGAGAGTGTGGGAAGTGTTAGCTCCTGCCGGTGCCAGTTTCTACTCACAGCCTTTTCACCGTCCTGTTCCCTGCTGCAAAAAATGAAGCCTACACAACACACAACGAGTGACCTGGTCCCTCCCGCTTTCCATAGCACTGCATACCCCATACTTAAACATCACTCCACCCTACATCACCGATGCCACACCCGTCCCTGATCTATACAAGTCCTTCATTCCACCTGCCAACCTACCGGCTCGCTTTCATAGTCTATCGATCTTGTTGTCTATCCATTCTACCCACCTAGATATCCATGTTCGATTTGTCTATCCATCTACCTATCTATCACATCTTTTGTTGTCCTTGTCTTGGCTGATGTCATCTCATCTTAACCATATGATCATAACTCACTATCTAGTCCCGTCTATCTATCGAGCTATGTGCATGTTTTCTTCAAGTCTTGATCTTCTGTCTCTCTTTCAAGACCTTTTGATTTCTATTCTTCTGTGTTTCTCTCTATCTACCTACCTGCCTACCTACCTACCTGTCTATCCATTCATCCAGCCATCCATTTATCTGTCCATCTTTCCATCTTTCCACCTACTCCTGAGAGGTCGTATGAGCACTCAGGTCCTGTGGCACTTCGATACTGCCTCCGGTCATTGCGCCATTCAAAGACTTACCCGCGCCATGAAAAATCCACGACTGGGTGCCCCGGCCCAGCGCTCCTCCCGCTGTTGTTGGCAAAGTTGCTTTGATTTTATTCGCCTCGAAGTGCTGGACTCATTTCATCTCGCACCATTCCAACAAACAAATCTTTGTCAGCACCACCATCATACCCGCCCCACCTTCGATGGTAGCGATCAATGGCTTTCTCGTTGCAGCTGCCAGCGTAGTTGGTGCAAAGACCTATGCGAATCCAGCAACACGGCTCGGTCTCAAAAAAATCAAAAATTACTGTAACCATGACTCCTTGACACATGATGGGTAGACCTGGTTGCCGCCTTCCCCTGACGACATGTCGATCGCCAAAGATCCGAGCTTTCATTTGGCTAATTACTTTAGGTCCATTCGGTTAGAGCTGATTTGAGGTTTAAGATGGGTCGATTTGTTTAGGGTTGGGTCAGGTTGAACGGTTGGGTCTATCTGGGTCTATGGGTTCTTTCAAGGTTTCTTTAGGTTTCGCTATGGTGAATTGCATAGGTTTGGTGTCTTAGGATCTATTTAGGGGGGTAATTTGGCGTCAGAGTTTGATCGTTTGCCAAGGGTTTTAAGGCTTGAAACACTGCCTATGGAGAATATGTTTAGGATAGCACCGCTTTAGGTGAGCGCAAAAATACAATGAGACACCAGCACCGCAGCCCAACACAGCGTCGACCGAGGAAGTGTAGGCTTCTGGCATCTCCAATCTGGGCTTCCCCAATCACCTGAGGCGTGCACTCTGATGTATCTGCCAGAATCTGCTTGTCCAAATGGCCATTAGATGGCATATTAGATGGTAAAAAAATCAGGCTGCATTAGGCCATCATGCTACACCCTGGTACAGCATAAATCACTTCAACATCTCCAGGTGATGGCTCCAAGATCCTGATATCACCGAGCTCAACCGTGAATTTGGGGTCTAAATTGGAGCTGGTCAGTGCTGGCCTGTCCGTGATCGGTGCTGATCTCATGGTTTTTCCATGCCAACTATGCCAAGACACTTCGAGTGGTGGCCTGTGCAGCCGTTCGTCCATCCTGCCACATTGGATCATTGGATCAATGGGAATTCCAGGATCCTAAATTGGAGGTACGTTAGTACCATATTTTAGGCCATATTTTGTGGGGATATCCCCTTACATAGGCCTTATATAGGCCTTATATATGGTAGGTACCTCCAATCAATCGGTTCCTGAAATGGCCATTGGATGCACCAAATGATTGCGCTTGGTGGACTCGCTACCCTGTTCGCCGGACATGCCGGATCCATTTGTTTGAAAAGCACCTTGGGGACGACCCCAGCAGCCGCTTTATCTCGCATCCTGGGAGAGAACGTGAAACCAGAACCCATGGTGAGTATTGATAACAGAGATTCCAATTGGTCAAAGATGGTAAGTCCAGAGATCACATCATTTCTACAGCGAAAAAACAGACCTTAAAGGTTGTCGTTTTTTCGCTACCGTATGCAGCATACCACAAGCTCCATGCAACACACGCGCCGGCTCCTCCTCGTGCTTTCCTGGAAAGAGACGGAGAAAATCGGATTCAATGTGCGTTGAGAAAGACATCACCTTTCAGCTATCTTCAACAACCTTGAGAAATTCAATGTCAAGTCTCATGAGCTGATCATGAGCTGAGAGCAATTAAATTTAAAATTGTCCCACAAAAAATGATGCGAAACATAGCACAGCATCGAAATCTGCGCCACTGCGCCCACCGGCCTCGGTGAAACCCAGAAAGCTGTCATGAATTGTGCTTCCCAAAGCCTGGCGCATCGCCGCATCTGGATCTCTGGACTCATCATGTCTTAAATGTGCCAATCGATTTAACATCGATTGAACAAACCTTTCGAGAAGATACTCGAAAGAATGTCTCAAGTGTTTACGGATTGACATGGATTGACTATTTCCACCTCTGCAAGGAGATCCAGATCGAATTTCCCATTTGGTCTCCCTTCATCGTGTCGAAACAGCCTCTTCTTGGCCTTCCTCAAAATCCAAACCATAGGGCACTGGCGCTGCTCCTGCCCCGTTGTTTCCCCAATTTCGCCGATTTTTGATCACTGACACTGCATCGTATGGCCAAAACAAAGGAGCCAAAAAGATTCAACACATTTCCAAAACAAGTGATGATATCAGTTGATACATGGTGATACCACATGAGCAGTGATTGAAACCCGAAATGTCGTCCTTTTACACTGGTTGGTTAATAGGAATTAATCCCCAAGGCATTGGATAGTGTAGCACCCTATTATATATATATCATCAACCAACAGTGCTTTTGAACAGTATATGATGATTGGTAGGTTCTATGTCCCATAATTCATCCCCATTAAATCCCGTTAAATCCATATTGTTGATGGTTAATCAATTGAGTCATGAAAAATAGCCCTATCCATGGATTATGATGATCCTCCAGAAATGAGCCAATCAACCAACCTATTTTTTGCTGAATTCGATGGCCATTCCAGGAACCTAAATTGGAGGTACCTCATATAATGGCAGAAAAAAGGGCTATTAGGGGATATACCTCCAAAATCTGATCAAAAATATCCAAAAACACCTCCAGTTTAGGTACCTGAAATATCAATGGCCATTGATCAACTGTTACGAGTCCACAAGTTTCCCTTTGTTCAGAGCGGAAAAAAACTTGGCGCACCGTTGAGTTTCCGCTTCGCCGGAGCGGCCCCTGCCTCGGACGCGGCCATATCTTGTGATCAGCACACGCCACATCTGTGAAAATCAGATTGTATATTCTATTATATATAATATTGTATAGATATCTATACTAATATATATATATATATTATGTACATATAGTATGCATACCTTACAGTATCTGTGCTATATATATATTACATGTTTGGAGGTATATTGTGTGTGTTTCCTGTCTTTTGGATTCCCTTGGTACAACCAGGAAAATTAGGCCATTCCTGAATCCAGCCAACCGCATCTAACCGCAAGCCCTGGCATCCGAACCCATTTCCGGAAGAGGACGGGCGGCATGCAGCGTACCCTTCGATCCCAGGGCATTTCAATGGATTGAAGGGAAAATCTGAACCAGAAACCCTGGTTTTGACCATCAAATATAGGGGTTTCCTGTATGTATTCTGTTTTCCAACTAACTCAATGATTCCATTATATTGCAGCTATTCTTTGAATCCATTGGCCCATTGGCTGCAATTGTTGCAAACATCTCTATGCTTGACTTCGATCAGCCTGCAAAGCTCGGACATGTGAGACAGTTAGGTTTTTTCAGTCCTGTGGGTAGTTTCACAATGCTATCCGCTCTCTTTGCATTACGTGGTGATTTGAAAATCACCCCATCGCGATGAAGCCAGTAAGAAGTATCAATTCTGGAAAAATATGATGCTAATCAAGTTGCAATCATCTTCTTCGAAGCTGATCCCTCAGCCCCTTCCAACGGTACATTCCAGTCCCTTCCCACGCCTCCAGAAATCTTTCCCCAGCGTATTCTCCAGTTTCGAGCCCAGGCAGCGGCGCGTTTCCGGCGGCAAAACCCATAAAAAACACTTGGATGTGCTGGGAATACACTTGGGCGGATTGAAAGTGACACAAGGACTATACGGATTTTAAAAATCAATTACTAATTACCAGTATCACAACCACCACTATCACCACCGCTATCACCACCGCTATCACCACCACTATCACCACCACTATCACAACCTATCACAACCTATCACAACCTATCACAGTCACCACTACCACAACCTACCACAACCTATCACAACCTATCACGATCACCACTATCACAACCTATCACATTTTCAGATCTTCCACTCTGAATTTTTGAGGCAAGTCTCGCACGACAATTTCGTTTTCATATTTCGCACTTTCACTTTTTGAAGGAAGTCTCACACGCAACCTCCGTTTTTACATCTTCAATTTTCACTTTTTGAGGGAAGTCTCGCACGAAAGCTTCGGTCTCACATCTTCTACTTTCAGATTTTGTGAGGGGTGTCTCGCACGAAAGCTTCGTTTTCACATCTTCCACTTTCAGATTTTGTGAGGGGTGTCTCGCACGAAAGCTTCGTTTTCACATCTTCGACTTTCAGATTTTGGAAGGAAATCTCACACGCAACCTCCGCTTTTACATCTTCAACCTTCACTTTTTGAGGGAAGTCTCGCACGAAAGCTTCGGTCTCACATCTTCCACTTTCAGATTTTGTGAGGGATGTCTCGCACGAAAGCTTCGTTTTCACATCTTCCACTTTCAGATTTTGAGGGAAGTCTCAAACGAAAGCTTCGTTTTCACATCTTCCACTGTCATTTTCGCGCGAAAGCTTCGTTTTCCCATCTTCCACTTTCAGTTTTTGGCGGAAATCTCCCACGAAATGCGTTTTGGAGCTGCAATTTCTAACGTTCTTGCGCGTAGTTCTTTTGTGCTTTGCAAGTCAGTCTCTGCAGATCGCACTGTAATGGATGCGTCAAGGTTGCTTGGCTCCGCTGCTGCTTGCAGCTGGACATTGTAAATCGTATTGGAGTGGCTGCATCAAGGTTGCGATAGTGATTTGGCAGCAGCAATTTTGGCGCTTGTGATTTGTTTTTCAAAAACCATTTCAAAGTGCTTCAAAATCGTATTTTTTCAAATCTGGGGAAAGCTGAGATAAGCTGAGATGAGACCAGATGGGATGACCTGACAGGACAAGAGTGGTGAAGAGATAAGAAGAGCTGGGTTGAGACGAGCTGCGTAGAACGGGGAAGCTGAGAAGAGCTGAAAAGAGAAAAGTTCAGATGTGCTGAGAAGAGATGAGAGCTCAGGTGACATGAGAAGAGACGAGAACAGTTGTGATCAGCTGAGAAGACCTGAGAAAGGGAGAGGAGGTATGAGATGGGATGAGATGAGATGAGATGAGATGACGGCGACAAATCTGAGAAGAGACGTGAGGTGAGTTGAGATGAGATGGGATGACACAGACTGCGGTGACAATGGGATGCAATGGGCAATTTCCAAGAGAAGCTGCGATGAGATGAGATCAGGTGAGGTGAGAAAAGATCCAACGGTCAAAAGACATGGCACTGGAATGACAAGTCAAGAAATTGTTGCTGCAAAGCGCAGGAGGCTTGCCTGTCACCTATAGGCACAGTCTTTGTTCGGCTCTCTGGGCTATAAGCGTTTCAATTTTGAAACTTCCGCCCCCGGCTTGGCCGGGAACTACTCGTATATCTTTTTATGTCCTCTAGGTCAAATGTCTTTATCACCTCTATATTAGGTCATAACAGGAGGAGATAACGTGTAGCAATCACCCTTCTTGTCTTCATATTCATTGAACAGCAAGTCATTGCTGATGCTGTCCATTGATCACGGCTCTCAGGACAGGGCCGGTCTGGAACTTTCACCCATGAATCTGCTGAAGAGGCACCGTTCTGTGCTAGACTATATCTGCACAAAACGCCACTCAGGCTGGCCAGGATCTGCAGTCACACATTCATTTCTACATTCGCTAGGGGTGAAATTACATTCTCATGGAATGTTATCATGCGCAAATGCAAACCCACACAGAACAACTTTGGGTAGATATGATTTAAGTTATAAGAATACCAGGTAGTGCCCGGCGCGCGCCGGGGCGGAAGTTTCAAAAATAAGACATGACTATGACTGAATGACTGAATGACTGAAAAAACTGAATCACTGAGTGAATGAGTGGATGACTAAGTGAATGAGTGAATGAGTAAATGAGTGAATGACTGAATGACTGAATCACTGAATGACTGACTGAATAAATGACTGACTGAACGAATGAATGAAGGAACGAATGAATGAAAGGAATGAATGAATGAATGAATGAATGAATGAATGAATGAAAGAATAAAAGAAAGAATGAAAGAATGAAAGAAAGAATGAATGAATGAACGAACGAACGAACAAATGAATGAATGAAAGAATGAATGAATGAATGAATGACTGAGTGAATGAAAGAATGAATGAACGAACGAACGAATGAATGAATGAAGGAAGGAATGAATGAATGAAGCAATGATTCACTGAATTTTGCCGACCTCATCTTCCAAATGTGCTCCGATCGCGACAGTTTTTGAACATGTTCAAGTGCAAATCAACCTCTCGCTACAGTCCTGTGAACTTTTTGTCGACCACTTTTGCAGATCGAGGCCACCCTACTTCAGCGACCACAGAAGCCACTTTACCCGAAAAACACAGGGTTTTGCGCCCGAGTGTGTTTTCAAGCCGGAAATCACGCTTTCCCGACCTGATGATGTGGTTGACATGATGACATGATGATGTGGTTGACATTGACATGATGGTGACAATGCTGGCCATGACAACCGTCCGTAGCTCGGAAGTTTTCTTTGATAAGACAGAATCTGCATTAACAGATACCATCTTAGATGGGTGCTCATTGGTCTTCCAGGGCATGGAGGGCGGAACCTTCACATCGGAATGGCATTTGAAGACGTAGAACAGGATGTCCGTGTAGAACACCATGGGGTCCATTTTACACGCCTCGGCCGTTGCGGCCAGCGGCGACCAACAATTTACGCATCACTCTGAATTCACGCATTTTGAGAACATTCTCTCAGCAATGCAGTGGACGTGTCATTCTTAGTCAAAAGCGAATGTTCACCCAGTGAATCCAGAAACAAACGGAAGGTGCCGGCGCATGACTCTCAAGGAAGAGTGCATGGTTTCATTTTGAAATTTGCTGCACTAAATCCACTGGTTGAATCGCTATTTAGGGGAGTGAAAATCCCCCCATGTTCAGACACACCCAAGTATCATGCTGTTAGTTCTATATCCCATTTTATCATCACACATTCTGTTTAATATTCAGAAAATAGTCTGTTGAAAATCCGCATGTTTGATACATCCCCATCGGATATCCATCACGAAGCCGCGAATGTCTGCCACCTTCAGCAAGCCGTTTCCCATCACCTTGTGGGTTTCTGCCTGCGGTGCAAAGAAGTGAACACATCTTCGAGAAGAAAATGGTTGTGTTCAGAAAAAGACCCACCGAAGAGTAAATAGTTTTAAGTAGTGGTACTAAGAACTATGAATAATCATGAACAATCACTAGTTAGCCAAGTAATAGTGGTATGATCACTTGACCAACATCTAATAATCATCCAATATAACACAGTGATGTTTGCAGCGCTGTGTCAGCAGTGGTCCTTCTGGGGTGAAGCCAGCTCCTGCCATCGATTCAACGGCTCGGCATCGAGGGCGTCACAGGTTTCATATTTCTTCGTCTTAGTGGAAAGGATCAACTCAGAAACAAACATTATTCATCATCATCATCATCACCAACATGTTCATCATCATCATCAACAACAACAACAACATCAACAACATTATCATCAACAACAACAACAACACAAACAATGTCGTCATCATCATCAACAACAACACCAACGATATCAACAACATCATCAACATCAGCCTCACCAACACCAACATCACCAACAACAACATCAACAAGAACATCACCACCATCATCATCATCACCACCAAGACCAACAATATCAACAACATCATGTTAAACAACGACGACGACGACGACCACAACAACAACAACAACAACAACAACAACAACAACAACAACAACAGCAACAACAACAACAACAACAGCAACAACAACAACAACAACGACAACAACAACGACAACAGCAACACCAACAACAACAACAACAACAACAACAACAACAACAGCAACAACAACAACAACAACCACAACGACATCAACATCATCATCATCATCGTCATCCTCATCATCATCATCATCATCATCATGGCATCCCTGGCCATGGCAAGCCCCTGCCTTTGCAACGTAGTGCAACAAGTTCATCTTGCCACTGACCACAACATCCTGCAGGCCGTCGTCAAGGTGGCCAAAAAAGCTTCAATTATAGCTATTTGAATAAAATGTGGCCCTGTACTTAGAACTAAAGATGCTTGTTTACTGCATAAGTTCCAACCTTCTAGGAGGCTTGGGGCTAGTTGAAATGGAAAGCAACAGGACCGTTTTGGCACTCTACAGTACAAACCGCATGCTGCATGTCCGTTCTGGGATTGTACAGTACCGGTCTTTCGAGGTACCCTTTCCTCCTAAATTTGCCAAGTAGCTTCCATAGAGTGCAGCCAACTACATTTAAATTTGAAGACGTGACTGATCACACACATCAGTTTCCAGGTGATGAGCTACCTCCCACCCCGCCGCCTTGAGTTCGGCCAGTGCCAGCAATGGCAGCAGCAGAAGAAGCTTTGCCCTGATCAGTTTCATGGTGTCTCAGCTTTAAAGTGCAACACCAATGAAGGTGCGCATCATGCAGGAGATCCAACCAGCACCAGCACGCACCAAAGCAACCCCGGGGACCAAGCATGCTCTGTGATAACTGCAAAATTGAGGTGTACAACAGAGGGGAAATATATGGAAAGATATTATATGTATAATAATATATAATATATATATGTAATATATATAATATACTCCACACACATAGAATATGGAATTGAAATTTTGGCTTCCCAGGGCATCCCCATAATTGAACTTGAAACAGGATACTTAGAATACAGTTGACGTCAAAAAACCTATACTTAGAATATCGTTGGCCATATAAATTCTTTCACTTTTCCAGACGAATTCGTCATTTTTCCATAGAAATTCTTCACTTTTCTTTATAAATCTTTCACGTTTCCATACAAATTGTTCACTTTTCCATATTTTTGCCATACAAATTCTTTCTCTTGTTCAGTAAAATTCATCATTTTTCCATATATATATATTTCTTAATAAATCCTTCACATTTCTATACAAATTCTTCACTTTTCCATATTTTTTCCATATAACTTCTTTCATGTTTCCAGACAAATTCATGATTTTTCCATATAAATTCTCCACTTTCCTATAACAATTCTGCACGTTTCTATACAAGTTCTTCAATTTACCATATTTTGCCATACAGATTCTTTTCCATATAAATTATTTTTCCTTTTCAGTCAAATTCTTCACTTTTTCCATATGTGTTTCTTCATTTTCTCTATAAATCCTTCACATTTCCATACAATTTCTTCACTTTTCCAATTTATTTACATACAAATTCTTTCATGTTTGCAACCTAGTTTCCCAAAATGGATTGAATCAGCACTTGCCCAATCCAGACCATTTCCCATGGATCTCCACCATTCGTGGGGTGTACCCTTTGCGGTAGGAAAAAAATGTACTTTTTAGTACACAAAGTGATAAGAAATCGGTCAATTTGGGGACCCTGCCAGTTTTTGATTTTTGTCAGTCTTGGTTTTGGGTTAAAGCTCGCACCAGGTCCACCTATACAAGGATTGCCTGGGTGGCCGCGCAGCTGACATGAGAACTGAATTAGTATGTGAAAACTGCTTGAAAAAAAAGCAGAAACAGGCGGCATAGAGATGTACAAAGGCTTCCAGAGCGAAGGCCAAATGGGGAGAAAACAAATGAGCACGAAATGGGGGCATATTCTATGTGGAGTTGCGTTCGAGTTCAACTGCAGAATTGGAAAAACGCATATTCTATGTGAGTGGAGTAGATTATATATATATATAATCATATATATATAATCATATTAGTGCCCGACGTTGAGTACCGGGTTTGGTTCAGCTTCGCCCCAGCCCATCCTACAAAATACTTGCAGCTACGTTCACCTCCAAACCCCCTTTTGAACAAAGGAGGCGAAAAGTTGGAATGTTCACTTCCAGTGATCCCTGAAGATCACAATCTGGAGGAATCTATTCATCTACCTATTCTCCATAAAGGGACAAGCTGTGCATCCTGAATCCTTGCCTCATGGTGTTCAAGCTCGCAACGGCAGTTCCCACTCCTGGCAGCCCTGACTGTTCCTTGAGCCTAGACAAACGCCCCAGTTTCTGGGCGAGTGTCCTCAGCGGACATATCTTTGTGCTCACAAGTTGAGAACACACAGAAACCTTGACACCTCCTGTGGACATGAACTGCCGGTACATAAAATAACTGCTGGTGTGTTTGATGTAGCTCCCGCCCTTTTGCTGGGTTCCAACCATGGAGGACTTGCCATGAATTGATTTCTCGTTGAGCCACTAGAGGATCAGTGCCAGGCTCCCAGTGCTTCTCCATGAGGCTTCTAGCTTGTGTCTATTTCTGTGCTGCGATGGTATTCTAGCCAAAGCATGCCAAAGCAACTCCTGATCAATGCCAAATCAAGAAGTTCTGTGGTTCATGGATCATAGTTGCTGCGCCCCATCTTGACCGTTGCGGCTCCCATCATGACACCTGCGCCCGCGGCTACGGTTTTTTTTGGCCATCGCTTTCCTCAATCCACAGGGATCCTCGCAATTCCTTCAGGCGAAAAGCGCGGCATGAGAGATATCAGTTCTGACTCGACCTCAGCCTTTTTTGGCTTCAACTGCTTCAACTCATCAATTTTTGGTCAACTCCATCCATGTTAAAACCAGGTTCAACACCATGTTCACCCACTTCGAAGTAGAGATATAGCACCTCGTCATCAGTTTCCTCGTCAATGTCCAAGAACACTTCGACCTCCGCGTCAAAGCGAAACATCTCCTTAGCGCGGCCCCAGGGATGTCTGCAACCCCAAATCACTACGAATCGTTCGGAGCCGGACCACCAGAAGGATCTCTTGCAAAGCAAAATAGCTGAGACATAGTGAGACTAGCTATTTCAATCTAGCTGCCTACATTTGCTCCTGATTTTTGGTGGGCATCCTACCATCATCCTACCATCATCCTACCATCTCATTGTTGAAGCAACCCGGATTGTTGAAGCCATGCCCGCCATAGACGATCTCAATCCGAATCCATGGCACCTCCGAATCCTGGCCATAGACGTCGGCGATATTCTGTCGGCAGCTGTCAGCACAAAAGCCACCCATTGAGAGGCCATCGCTTGGATCCTCAGTTCCACGTGGGCGAAAGCTGACCAAAATGCAAGAACCAAGGGGGGGTGAATGATGGTGAATGTTGCAAAGGGCTTGAACCCCTCAAATGTGAACCTTGTGCCAGGTGAAAAGAGCTGGTGCCTGATGTACTCAAGGAATGATGAGGTTTCGCAAGCAAAATTTGACCACACAAAGGGTGGGCCTCTGGGAAAGAAAGACCCTAGGCTTAGTCCCAAACCACTCCAAAGAAGGGCGCTTTCGAACAAAGGAACCTAAGCTGCACGAGACAACCTGGGGGCACTTAGGATGGCAAGTGCTATGTGTTCAGCATGGAAAGCAAACTGTCGTTGGCACATTCCAAGGGTCTTCCAGTCGGCTCTTCCCAGGATCACCGAGGAACGTCTTGACACGACAGAACTCGGGACGCTCATCGTAGATGTTACAGCTTCGCGTTTCATGATCAAAGTGCCGGCACCAGCCATCCTCCTGAACTGGGGATCCCCAGGTCCAACTGTCACCCTGTCACACTGTCACACTGTATCTCTTTCTTGCTACAAATATGGGTTTGTCTGAAAATCGTTTACACTCTGGTAATTTAACATAGCTATGGAAAATCACCATTTTCAATTGGAAAATCCACTATAAATGGCCATTTTCAATAGCTACCAGAGGGTATACCCTCAAATGGCCGTGTTCATATTTTAATAGGGATGACAATGATGATTGATCAGTGGATTTATGGTACCCTATTTTCAGACAAACCCATATGGTATGATTCAACCCAAGGAAAAATCATCAAGAAAATGCCACAGCTGCAACTACCCTTGCCAGCAAAGTCCTTGGGAAGACTTCGAAAGATCCTAGGGGCGTCTCATGCGCATCATAGCAACATCCCCATACGCCGAAATCACAGTGATCTTTGGCATGTTTCAACCCATCACCGGCAAGTCTTTGGCAACCCCCCAGCTTGTTGGATACAACGTGAGATTGGGATTGCACCAGGGATTTTTGTCCCAGTTCCCCAGGTTCCCCATGACATTTCGCCATGTGCAGCTCAAGAAACTCCAACTGCTCTTCAGTTAGTAAATCCTTGAGAAAGGGTCGCTCCTGGCAAGATATGTGAGATTTCCAGAGTTTTGGCTATCACTTGCCTGCGATTGTAGGATCCAATGCACTGGAAGATGACCATGCGGAGCATTTTCCTCAAACCCTCAGACACTGGCATTTGCACTTTCAGCTGAGCAGTGTTCAACACTGGAAATGCCCATGAAATACTGCTTACTGCTTACTGCTTAGTCGATTGGGATTCCCTGTTTATACAGTTTATAGATGATCGTCAATCTGGTAGTATCAACCCCCACCCTCATCCACGTTCATCCACCCTCAGCCACCTCCGTACCCAGCATGCAGCATGCACCGCATCCGCTGACGCAAGTCCAGCCCAGAGGCTCGGCAACTTCTCCAGTTTCGGCAGCTTCGAGTCTGCCAGCAGGTCTGGATTTTGGTACCACAACAGCAAACTCATCAAATTTAACATGAAACCCAAAATTTTGGCAATATCCAGAGGGAAAAGAATCTTCCAGAACCCGTCCAATTGGGTTTCATATTGAGATATGCCAGAATGAGCTCAGCAGCAGGATGAAGTGCAAATTTTCAAATGACTTGTTTTGGGAAGACGTATATAATTCTAGGAAAAAAAGTGAAGAAACATGTTCCACCAATTTGAGACTCAGCGATACATGGTGTTGAAGCATTTCTTTAAATTCAGGCACCCTTTCAGAAGTCCGCCTGTTGTGATGTTTCACATTGTTTCACCATGTTCGACACAGTAGAAGGACATCCTGCTGGAATTTCGGGGTTATGTCAGGATCAATCCTCAAGATTGATCCAACTCACATCATTCTTCGTGGAAGCGGACCAAGATTCTTTCAGTAGGAGCAGCTAAACCAAACAACAAACCCAAGCATGTGCCCTTGTCCGCTGACTCAATTCCCATCAAGACGGTAAAACATCCACCGATCCGACAACCTGTTGAAACAAATGTGTCAAAACTTAAAACCAATAATAAACCTTGTTTTTTTGGTGTTTGCAGCTCATGATCTGATAGACACTGCTGTGCACATTCACTCTGTTTTCCACCGTGGTTTCTGTTTGATTTCGATCTGGTCACCCTTGATCCGAATCAAACACATAAACAAATTTCACAGTGAACATGATGCATAAGTCGACATGTGACATTCACACTCAGCACACCTTTAAAACAATGCCACATCCCTACTGGAGGTTTGCTAAGGTTCTACCAATGTTTGACGTGCTTTCCACGGGGAAAAAAAACTCAATCAGGGTCACCAACGGTCATTGCCAAAACTTGCCTAGCCCGTAACGGTCTGGGTCGTTGTGGCACAGGAATCACAGGTGCCACAAACGCAGCAGCCCAGGTGGCCGTCTGGTCAGGCGTGACATCGAGTTGGATGTGCCATGATGATCATGATGTGCCCCAAACTGAAACTGTCCATAACTGTCCAAAAATTGTATCAATAAATATCAATAATCTATGCCAAATCAGCGGACTCTGATTTCAACACTGCTTGGATTGCAGAATTGGTACTGAGGCGACGGCTACCGCTGCAGCAATGGATGTGGACACTCCAGGGCGCGTTTGGGACTTCAAACGGGACAGCCATGATTTCTGTAAAGCCATAGAGCGCCAGGTTTGCATTTGCGCCGGTGGTGGAGTGGATGAGATTACTTAAGTTTTGCTTCGCAATCATGTTGTTTGGTGTCAAAATTTGCGTTTTCCGAAAACAGTTTTTGAATAGTTATTTATGTTATTTCTTGGAAAAACTCATGAAATGGTGGCCTTTGCATCAAAATTGTCACTGCAAAATTTTCACTGACGTTGTCAAAGTCTCAGAAATGGCACCGGTGCAAAGTCCTACGGTAAAAGTCTGCTGTCCATCACAGTACTTTAATGGGCTGTCGAAAACAACTATTATATCCGTGCATGCAGGATATTTATGTGTTTTCTATAAGTGAAGTGCGGTTTTGTAAATGTTTGTGTGAATGTTTGTTCGGTTTCGTACACTGTGTTTGAAGCATCTTGTCATGGGTTTACATGTTTGTATGTTTGTTTGTGGATTTGTGTGTTGTCATTTTTTCACTAAGTAGTCCAAAACCACCAGCTGTCCACAACAAGAAGGAACACATATTTGCGAAAAATTATACCAGCGTTGACCCCAAACAGATGTAGAAATTTTCAATTATATTGTACATGCAACCAAGCAACCCAGAGTGGGAGACAAGTGTGGGAGACAAGTGTGGGAGACAAGTGGGAGACAAGTGTAAACTCAGCCCAAAGAACCCAGAGTGGGAGACAAGTGTGGGAAACAAGAGTGGAAGACAAGTGTGGAAGACAAGTGTGGGAGACAAGTGTGGGAGACAAGTGGAAGACAAGTGTAAACTCATGCGCTCCCAGACATCCAGAGTGGGAGATACGTGTGGGAGACAAGTGTAAAATCATGCGGCCCAAGACACCCAGAGTGGGAGACAAGTGTGGGAGACAAGTGGGAGACAAGTGTAAACTCATGCAGCCCAAGGCACCCAGAGTGGGAGACAAGTGTGGAAGACAAGTGTGAGAGACAAGTGTGGGAGACAAGTGGGAGACAAGTGTGAAAATTATGCGACCCAAGACACCCAGAGTGAAAGACAAGTGTGGGGAGACAAGTGGAAGACAAGTGTAAACTCATGCGCTTCCAGACATCCAGAGTGGGAGACACGTGTGGGAAACAAGTGGGAGACAAGTGTAAAATCATGCGGCGCAAGTCACCCAGAGTGGGAGACAAGTGTGGGAGACAAGGAGGAGACAAGTGTAAAATCATGCGGCCCAAGATACCCAGAGTGGGAGACAAGTGTGGGAGACAAGTGGAAGACAAGTGTAAACTCATGCGGCCCAAGGCACCCAGAGTGGGAGACAAGTGTGGGAGACAAGTGTAAACTCATGCGGCCCAAGACACCCAGAGTGAAAGACAAGTGTGGGAGACAAGTGGAAGACAAGTGTAAAATCATGCGGCCCAAGGCACCCAAGCGTGAGGGACAAGTGGGAGACAAGTGTAAACTCATGCAGCCCAAGGCACCCAGAGTGGGAGACAAGTGTGGAAGACAAGTGTGGAAGACAAGTGTAAACTCATGCGGCCCAAGGCACCCAAGTGTGAGGGACAAGTGGGAGACAAGTGTAAAATCATGCGGCCCAAGGCACCCAGAGTGGGAGACAAGTGTGGAAGACAAGCGTGGGAGACAAGTGTAGACTCATGCAGCCCCAGAGTGGGAGACAAGTGGGAGACAAGTGTAAACTCATGCCGCCCAAGGCAACCAGAGTGGGAGACAAGTGTGGAAGACAAGTGGGAAACAAGTGGGAGACAAGTGCAAACTCATGCGGGATCGTTTGTGGCAAGTTGCCTCTCCAGCTCGTCTTTTTCCAGTTTAATATGCCGCCTTTGTATTTTTATATCATTATCCCTTAAAGCAATAGAAAGTAAAATCGCACAATCACAAAACCGAAGTGCAAAGCTTGCCACAACAAAACATATTATAAATACGCATCTTACTATGGAGAAGACGCACAATGACGCACATGCACGGAGCAAAAGAAAGTCAGAATTTGATAGTGAAACTGTCCAATGCTCACAGTCAGGTCGCCAAGAGCCTCACAAAGCAAAACTGTTTCAAGAAGAACCATTGAGAAAGAAAAACATTGCCACACTGCACACGTTGCTCACAAGCCAGCCTCTATGGAATGAGGTATCCATAGCAGTCCGACCTGAATGATTGGTTGACCCGAGTTGACCCCCGCACTTCAACAAGGCACTCGCAACAGCAAAAAACAATATTGCCGTGGCTGATATTGTCCCAGCAGGACGCCAGCCTCTATGGCACAACGTAGCCATAAGGAGTGTCTTCATCATTATTACGAAGAGATTCGCTCATCTTTTTTTCCTTGCTCCAGTTGAAGTCCTGCGGAGAAAGCATTCAAACTACAAGGAACTGACTAAACACGAACTGGCAGGTCATCGACGCAACTGCAACTAGCAAAGAAGTTGCTGGCACAGACAACGGCGCGTCCTCTTGGCTAAATATTTCTATCTTCGACGGTGCAATGGCTAGTTCTTCTTCCTTCTTGATCGCCTCAGAGCAAAACAAGCTTTCAATCACTACTTTGTTTGTCTTCTACTCAACGTCAACTAAGGCACAGCATTGCACATGAACGCAAAACCATGAACTCACAGCAGATGTTGTAGATGCGGACGCTCTGCTTTACATGTGTCATTTCTCTTCTGAAAAATGTTCCCACAACAAGATGAAAGAAATTCTGTTTGAGGTCTGCACCTTTTTTAAATCGTCTATGTTCTGCATGTCCTGACACATAATTCATGCAGTTTTTCAAAGCAAGACAGTTGGATATGCACATTCTCCAAACTCTTTGGCACTTTCAAGCCAGTTTTCTAGCGTCCTTATCCTTGACTTGAAACGCATTGCCGACGAAGTCAAAGCCACCACTGTCGTCCTGCAAGGTCAACAGCCGAGACATTCGAACTCAACCCTTTCCAACCGTGCCCTACTCCCATTTGCTTACCAATGGGCACAGCAAAGGAACAAGGCATGCCAGAAAATCATACAAAGGCTTTAGTCTAAATCCTCTCTATCAAATTGAGGAAGATTATTGGAACATATCTTTTAGCAAATCCCGAGGAATGAACAACCCCGTTATCTTCTCCCCACAAAGTGCTGAGCCGTGTCAAGAACATAAAATGACAAGGCGCTGTCTTGCACAAACCACTTGCCCGCAACCAATTCTTTGACTTTGGAGGACACCATGAACATTCAAGGAATTGGCAGAGGGAACTGGGCGTGACAAGACATCAAGCAACATGGCAACTCTGAATTTTATGGGTTGGATGTCTTGGATGTAGCTTTACCCGTGCGAATCAAGGACATTGAACCTGTGTGTCGAAGGCATTGAAAGAAGGTCAGCATGCGGACCCGTTGCCAGTCCTTCTCCAGCTGGCAGACCCACACCGGCTTGGTCAGCGCAGTAGTTCCTAGGAGGGCATCAAATCATTCAAAGTGGCTAGCCTACTTTGAAGATTGATCAAGGAGTTCATCAAATACCTCTTTTTCGAATACAGCATTGAGAAAGAAATGTAGATCAATTCTGCGTTCTTAAAGAAACAACCCCGTCGTATGTTTACAAGACCATCTTGGCGCGCCCCGCCTGGGATAGGGAGAGGTGCAGTTGGTCTATCTCCAGTCATGATGTATCGTTTGGTACTTCTGGGTCTCCAACAGCCATACTTGTCAGGGATTTTCGAACGCTCTAGAGCCTCAGCCAGGAGAACGTTTCGTTCTTCAGCTTCTCCTTTTTTTTCCGTCCGACGCCTCTTGGCTTTCGCCAGGTCGTTCAACACGTTCGATTGCATGTTGCAGAGATGAGTGAATTAGTTAATTGACACAAAGATGGCCGTCTGCTTCTGAGGGGCCGCAAAAGTAAACTGGTGGTGGACCGATACATAGTCCAATGCCGTCACAATTCCGTCACAAAACAAAAACCGAAAAACAAAACAAAACCAAAGAACAAAAACACACAAGCAAAACGAACCAAAACACACAACACAAAACAAACCGAGAAGGGGAAAAGTGGCCGGCAGACCAGTTATGTGACCTCGGTAATGAGTAAGCGTGATATCCTTGTATCTCTGGTATTGGTATGGCAGTAAAAGCAAAGGCAGAACCGAAAACACAAACATCACAAACATCGCCATACCCAGGTGTGAGTAAAGCAAAACAGCACTATGCGGAAACCAGGGCTCCCCCCAGCCAGGAGCCCCGAGATCACATAGAGCAAGCCGTGCAGGCATGACCACTCACGAGGTAACACTTAAGTTGCCAGCAACGACAATGCCGTGTAACAAGTAAAGTGGTGAGACAAGTGTGAAACCAAAGGTGAAAAGGACCTAGAGTGAGAAGTGAAGTCCAACAGCGAAGGCTCTCAGGGCACTCTCAGAATCCGCTCAGTAGTTCTTGTACAATCATCGTCATCCTTGGGCAGTACTCTACTGCTCTTGGAGTTGATCTTGATCCTGAAACGCATGATATTCATCATCTGTTGGCAGTGACACCTGTGCGTTCAATTCATCGGATGATGTGCTTGCACCTTTGGCTGTACGCGGCATGAGTAGCAGTGCTTTTTGCGCTTGACTAACTTCGTAGCTGGCAGAAATTGTGCAACTGTCCAAAATGCAGCTCAATTGACGTAGTTGACGTATGGCAGTCTTAAGGTCAGCGATCCTCTGAGGTGGGACGTCTGAGATACCTCGGAGTTTCTGACATGCCTTGTCGAGAAGTTTGGTGGCAGCATCAATCTCGTCTGTAGTGACTTGGCACACAGTCAGTTGAACGTCTTCCATTGCAAGCCAGCAGGCAAACCAGGGAGGAAATGAAGCAGTGGCAGGCTGTGTCAATTGGACAGCTACAGCACCAGTTGGTGACGGGCAGTAGGCTGTTCTGCTACCAGTCGTGGGTCTCCCACGTTGGCTATTTCCATGAAGGTACCGCCAGTGCATCAGCGCGAAGATTGAGCATAACAGCAACAGGTGCCATGGCGAGATGTACTTTGACATCGTTCTAGTCTACTACCACCAACAGGAGAAAAGGACCCCCCCCGAG